AGGCCGAGGAGTGCAGGGGCAGAGTGGGCTGGACAGAGTGGGAGCCGGGAGGGCCCCAGGGGGGCGTGCGCCAGGCTCTGCTTCCTGCCCAGGGCTGTTTCTCTGCCGGCACGGGGCCCTTCACCCCACGCTGTGCCCAGGCTCGGTGCAACTGGACGGGCGCGGGCCGAACGGTCAGCCCCCGGGTCAGCCAACTCCGGTGTGGTCCCAGCCGCGGAGCGAGGACTCCCCAGGGCCGCGGCCGTCTCCTGCCAGTGGCGGGGTGGCCCGGACGCACCCGCTGCCCGAGCAGGTTCCCAGGCCACCTCGAACCGTGTAGGCCTCACTGAATGAGCAGCTGCGCTCCGGAGGCCTCGGTCTCCTCTCTGGGACAGGCGTGGCCGTGAGGTGACCCGAGCCAAGAGGAGCGGCTGGTCAAGGCCAAGCGAGGCCCCCGCAGCGGCTCGGTCGTGTCCACTGCCGGGCGGCCTCACATGCTCAGGGGTCCCGGCCGACGGGCGCCGGTGGCCTCGTGGCTTCGCTCTTGTGAGGCTGCCACGCTGCGGTGGACTCGGACAAGACGTGCCCGGCCTGCTCCCCCTTAATGGCCCCACGCCACAGCCCCACCGTGGCCCTCGCCCGCGGCAGCCCTCCCACCCCACATCTCAGCGCGCGCCCTGGCTTTCGCCGTGGTGGACTTTGCACCGCAGCGGACACTACAGAGACAGCTTCCTTCACCGGGCAGGCGGCGGGAGTGCGGCTCTTCCGCCTGCTAATCTGCTCCTGGGTGGGGAGGTCCTGCGCCCCCGCCTCAGGCACCTGCCCCTTCTCTGGGCCGAAGGAGGGTGGAATGGGGCAGGCGGGGGCCACCGCCCAGGGGCGGCTGGCCCGGGTCTGCGGAGGAGCCGGGAGCGTTCGTCTCAAGGAGTCCTGGCCGGCGTTCTTCCAGCGGGGAAGAGAACCGGCGAGCGCCAGCCCGGGCAGGTCCTCGGCTGGCCAGGGAGCAGGGTCACGCCCTCCGGGGGGTGCTGGGCCAGGGCT